GCGGACGCTGGGGGGCCCGTGCGCGGTGGCGGCGGGCGCAAGGCGGGCGGGACGCGACGGCAGGGAGCCATGCGGGGTCCTGCAGACGTGGCCCGGAGGTGCGGGCCGGACCGAGGCAAGCGCGCGGAGCTGCTTGGCGCTGTCAGACCAGGTTCTGCCCGAGCCTACCGGGAGGGCTGGACGCGCCCGGCCTCCGCCCCCGCGACCCCGGGGTCCCCGCGGCACGCCCCTGGCCGAGGCCCGTGTGATGTGTCTCCAGAGCCCGTGATCCACTCGACTGCCCTGCTTTTACACATCCTGTACCTGCAGGGTTTCCCACCCACGAGTTGTTTCTCTCACCAGAGAGCCACTGGGTGTTTCTCCTTTCCTGGCACCCAGTCTGTAGGCCTGTGATGGCAGACCAGGCAGACCTGCCAGGCGTGGTCACCAGCCTCCCCCAGCACCCGCGGGAGCCCAGCGCTGTGGGCGGCCCTGTTTGGCAGGGCAGGGATGGGAGGGTGAGCGAAGCTTTGGCAGGTTACGCCTAGGGAGCCACAGCGCCAGGGCTCAGGCTCAGCAGGTGCCCCGGGACCCCGCTGTCTGGTCTGCAGCACTTGGCTCGCAGGATGCTGAAGGGAACTCCTCCATCTGCAGCCTGTGCCTTTGAAGTGTCCTCCGTCGCCGCGCTTGTGGCGAGAGCAGCCCCCGGGGCACGTGAGGAGTGGGAGCGGTTTCAGTGCGGCCCGGGGCTGGCTGATGTCCCAGGACGGGGGCACCTGCCACAGCTCCTCTCTCTCACTTTCCTGCAGGCCGCCGCATCCCCCAGGGCTCAGCTGCTGGCTTCCAGGCCTAGGTGCCCATGACGCCTATGCTGACCACTGCCTGGACACCACCGCTGCCCCAAGCTAGCACCACCGCCCGGGCCCCAATGCCGGTCATGCCCATCCCGCGGCGGGTGCGCTCCTTCCACGGCCCGCACACCACCTGCCTGCACGCAGCCTGCGGGCCGGCGCGCACCTCCCGCCTGGCGCGCACTAAGTACAACAACTTCGACGTGTACATCCGGGCGCGCTGGCTGTACGGCTTCATCCGCTTCCTGCTCTACTTCAGCTGCAGCCTCTTCACGGCCACGCTGTGGGGCGCGCTGGCCGCGCTCTTCTGCCTGCAGTACCTGGGCGTGCGCGTCCTTCTGCGCTTCCAGCTGAAGCTCTCGGTGCTGCTGCTGCTGCTGGGCCGCCGGCGCGTGGATTTCCGCCTGCTCAACGAGCTGCTCATCTACGGCATCCGAGTGACGGTGCTGCTGGTGGGGGGCCTGGGCTGGTGCTTCATGGTCTTCGTGGACATGTGAGGGCCACCGTGGGCCTGGGCTCTGGGGTTTGTTTATTGCGGCCCTGTTCTGTTCTTGAGGGGGTAGGTCAGGATTCTGCTCTTTCCAGCCCGTCTTGCGGATGGGTCTGAAGACCGTCCACCTCTGGCGGTGGGTCTGGGCGCGGTGCTGAGACTGTTCTGCGAAGGGGACGCTGGCGCCCCCTCTGCTGCTGGTTTTCCGCGCCAACCCTCCGTGTGTTCATGTAGGTACAGCGCCTCACTGGCCACCTGCCCTCACTTTTCCAGGCTGGCCAGGGTGAGGCCCGTTGGCCCCGTCTGCTCTTGGAGAGCCTCTGTGTCCCTCCTCCTGGCCAGCCACACGGCCCCTGCCCCAGCCTTAGGGAAGTGCCGATGGACCACACCGCCGCGAAGCTGATCACTGCCCTGGGCCACCCAAGTCCTGGCACAGCTCACGGGCCCTCCGTCTGCCCCCCTGAGTCCCAGGCCAGGCTTCAGGGCCGTGTTGGTTTGCTTAGATGCAGTCAAGTGGGAGTCACGGGCAGCCTTGGCAGGTTCCCAGATCAGGGGCCAGCCCGGGGTGCAGGGCAGATCTGTTTTCCTCTGGGGCAGGTTTGTTGAAAACATCAAGCTGGATGCCATAGTCTCTTCAAGTGTGCATTTGTGAGGAGGTACCTTAACTCCTTTCTGGCTGGTGGGGGGGAGTGGAGCTTTGGCCTCTCTTCCTCTGAGGGATGGCTAGAATTGAAACGTGCGTATTGGGAGCTGACGCACCACAGCCTCTGTGCGTGCGCCATGGAAACGTGAGCCAAGCTTCTGTTGAAAGAGCACCTCTTAGGGGTATGCGTGTGCACTGGGGCGGGCTGCCCCTGTGTTCCCGCCCTGGGGCTCTTGGAGCAGCTGCGGAGTGACAGGCAGAACTGAATGTGGGGCTGGAAAGAGCAAAGGGCCTGTTGGTCCAGCCGGGGGCCAATGTCTTGTCCAGACCCTTTGCTTCTCTGTCAGAGGAGGAGAGGGTGGCCCGGTGGCTCAGTAGTCACCATGGGTCTCCTCGGCAGGTGAGAAGCTGCTTTGAATAATTGTGCTGGGACAACAGGCATAGACCGGGGACAGGACACAGCCCCATCCTGGGGGTGACAGACCCCCACCTCATCCCAAGTTGTCCCCACCCCCATCCCCTGGGCATGGGCAGTGGTCCCTATGACCCCGCGTGGCCAGGCAGTCCAGTGGCCAGGGGAGCTGTCAGAAGTTGGTGTCACGGGAAGAAGAACCCAAATCAAGTAGAAAAAGCAAAGAAAGCTTGGCTGTAAACCATGGTTTTTTATTTGTAGCCAGCTTCTATCCAGTGATTGTCCACTTGGGGACAGTGGGAAGGCTCCTTGGGCGAAGTTCTTTCTCGCCTTGAGTCTGTCCTAGTTCCCTGGATGGCAGGCGGGGAGCTGACCTGCGTGGATCCCCCTTCTCAGCGCCACAGAGAATCTTTTGCACTAAATCATGCTGTTTCCTAAAAGTTTTGTTTTGTGTTAACTCAGATTCCCCCAAAGCTCCCGTCACTGAGGTGGACACCTGTCCACGCCGTCAGGATGGCAGGAGGGGTCTGGCCGTGCCACCTTGAATGTCGTTGCGGCCACGTGAGGAACTGGCACGTTGAACACAAAGATGCTTGGTGTCTCGAGTGCCTGTTATATTCTTTATGAAATGAGCCACCTGCATTAAACTTATTTTTTTAACACGTTGATGGAGTGATTGCTTAAAGCTCAAAAACTTTATTCCCTCTCTAAGGGTCTAACTGACCAAAAATGCCACAGAAGGCGTCTCTCCCAGGTAAAATTGGGAACGCTTTAATTTTTTTTTTTAAGATTTTATTTATTTGACAGTGAGAGAGCGAGCACAAGCAGAGGGAGAGACAGAGGGAGAGGGAGAAGCAGGCTCCCCACTGAGCAGGGAGCCTGATGCGGGCCTCGATCCCAGGACCCTGGGATCATGACCTGAGTGAAGGCAGACCCTTAACCGACTGAGCCACCCAGGCGCCCCCAAATCGGGAACGCTTTAAAGCAGGCGTCCGTGATGCCAGGGAAGGAGCGGACGTGCTGGGCTTCAGGGGGCCCACCCTGACCTTGCAGCCGGGGGCTCGGTCAGGATGGCAGGGACAGTGTGGCCGCCCCGGCAGCGGGTCCTGGCGAGGTCCCCGGGGCCAGGAACTAGGTCACAGAACTGAGTGTACAGCGTGAGCTCCGTTTCAGGGGAAGATACGCGTGTGCGGAGAAGACACTGGCTGAAAACCAAAGTTGTGGTTCCTGTTGAACTGAACACACTTGGAAAAACAAGAGACACGTTATTACTTAGTATCTTTATTTTGTAAAGGTCTCCGAGCTCCCGTGCGGGGACACTCCTGGTCCTCGCTGCTGACGACGATGCCCCTGCACGCTGTCACGCTGGCCAGAAAGTGCCACGGAAAGGCAGCCGGTCTGCCGTTTCTCGGACTTGGTGGAACTGGGTGTTTTCTCGGAAGAAAACAGTCCAAGTCGTTTTGGGGTTTAGCTTTTGGTGGCAGAGTTGGTAAAGTCCCCGAAAGCGGCGGAGGCAGCTCAGGAGATGCAGTTCGTGCCGCCAGGGGGGCACTGCCCGTCCTTGGGGCCGGGGTGAGCTCGGCGCACGTGCCTCCAGGCATGGATGGCAGTGGCCCAGCCAACTGTCCCGGGCGGTCCTCACCATGCCAGAGCCTCGAGGGCGCCCGCCTCCCCGGCCGTTTCTTGTTTGAGGTGAGCGTGAGCCCTCCTCCAGTGGGTGGGCCTCCTGCCGGCTCCCACCTCCGGGGCTGAAGGAACACCACGGCCCCC